AGAATTGAGGCAGTTCTGAAGGCAAAAGGGGGTCCAACCCGTTACTAGCATGGGGTACCTAATAAAGTGGCCGGTGAGTGTATATCTTCAAAAGAAAATACTATATTTACCTTCTCTCTTAGTCGTTCAAATGAAAACGGTCCTAATTCCACATTGATCAGAGCCGATGATACTTCAAACATTAATAAACAGCATCTAATGAGTGTAGAGCTTATAAAATTTTTATTAATGTAGCAAAATGCTGCTTTTCTCTTTTAACAATGAATTCCTCTTATCAGTACGGATGCTCACATCGAGCATAAAAAAGGGCATATCGCATAGCACCAATGACACCCGACCAATAGTGTCCCTAGCAAAGTTCAAATCAAACTTACGCCCTTGCATTTTAGTGCCACAAAACTTTGGGGAAAAAAGGAGTAAAGTAAAGCAGCTTATGTCTTAAAGTGCCAAAATGTCTGAATTTCAAGTCCTTTGCTGCTCGTCCCCCCCCCCCCCCTCGATCTAATCGAATTCAGGTGTCATTTGCCTCCCGGCTATAAAGTCCTGATTCCGATGAAGTCGTCACTGTAGACCTAAACTCCCTTTTCAGTTGAATAAACAAAGTCTTTCATCATTTTCACTCTGACTTAGAAAAAGGCTTTGCTCTTTTCCAACGGCTCGGCCTTTGCTCTGCCTCCCTGAGGTCATCCGAATAATTCCCTTCAGGTTTCAGCTAAGTTACGATCCTGCGGACGATAGCCCGGCTCCACCGCACCGCCTTGATTCATAGCCCCGTCTTCCTCAGCCTTTTCCTCCCACCTAATGGAAAACAAGGCGGGAGTAAAACTGGGAAGGTTTGCCTCGATATGCCCTTTATTTCTCTCTGCCTGAGTGAAATTTATACATTTGCAGTGATGCATTAATGGGGGAAGAATTGCTTTTACGTTTTATGAGGCTGCAACACCAGTTAGGGAATTGGGTGCAGCTCATCATTCCCAGCTACTTTAAAGGGACAGTCGGACAAAACGCAAAGAGGAAATGTTTGTTTTCTTTTTAAAGCATTTGTAATTTTTTCCCCTAAGGCAGAAATGCTCCAACCTCCTCGGTCTAAAGCGGCGTTTGTTCTTTCAGCACGGGGGAAAGATTGCTGTCCCGTTCCTCCGGACTCAAACAGTGAATTTGATGAGTGAAATTATGCTGAGCTGGAAAGTCTTTCATTAGCAAAGCTCGCAGCTTTTAAATGACCTGCAATGAAGGAAAATCTACTGTTGTAAAACATTTTCTAAAGATGCAGCTTCTGCATTTTTCTTGACCAGTCATCAACTCTGTCCTTTTTTCCTTAGTTTCCTCCGATGTGCTTTGGTTAAAAACGTTCAAATGAACTTTTAGTAAAAAAAAAAAAGGGAAGTTTCAGTAAAATTTTTTTTTTTTTTAAATACAAAATGTGCAAAATTTGATTTGTGGCTTGTATTTCCTTCAGAGAACCCCAGTTCTCAGCTTGCAACAATAATGGAATAAAATTCACTCCATACATTTTATCCGCTTCGTGATGCACTGAAGGAGCTCAAATACATCAGAGGTTTTGATTCTGATTAGGGATGCACGATATAATCGGCCCCCTATCGGT